CCCCAAAACCCCAAAACCCCAAAACCCCAAAACCCCAGGATAATTTTTAAAGGTTGAAGATTCAATCTCTGAGAAATGTCCCTCGTAGGATATTTAGTACTCATTATTATCTAAAAACTAATGAAGCTATTATGCATAAGATCGGGAATCAGAGCATACTTCCTCCGATAAATTGAGCCCAAGGAGGCATGTCAAGTGGGTTTTTGATCTCATCAACAATTCCGAATAAAATCAAGAAGCAAAGAAAAACAGGAGAGATATATTTTATGCTGATCTTATAGATCTTTGGTATTGTTTCACCCTTTTCATGAACTTTTTCTTCCAAATAATCAAGGCCCAAGTACCAACCAAGAATAATAGTCTGGATAAGGATCAGCACTAGAAGATTCAGGCCTGCTGAGAAATGATCAAAGAGAGTAAGCCAGTAAAACCCGGCATCAGAAGCCATGAGAATGATATCAATGACCAATACAATAAATCAAAAGCAGAGTGAAACTATTTTCTTATCAATTTTGTGAAATCTCTTTGTTCTTGACAGCATTCCATGAAGGAAACAGCAACAAACTTCATAGTATGGACACAGAGAGGAAAGACCTAAACATATCAGCATTATAAAGAAGATAATCGCCCAGAACTGTGAAAATGGAAGGGTAGTGATCAAGGCTGGGTACACTACAAAAGCGAGCTCACTTCCTTCCATTGGCATTTCCTCTATGGGGATCTCAGTTTTCACAGATGCATACCCAAGAAATGCAAATAAGGTCATCGAAGCGAATATAGAAGTACCAAAGTTGAGAATAGGTACACCAATTGCTGCTTTGAGTAGCTTCTCGTTCTTGTCTCTATTAGATGCAAAAAGCATCATGACATTCACGCCAATTGTTAAGGAGAAGATAACTTGGGCACCAGCATCTTTCCAAATCTTGAATGTCCAGAGTTTGCTCCAATCAGGTTTGAAGAGGAACTCCCATCCTGTGTAAAATCCTTCCAGAGTGATGCCTTTTAGGAAAAGAATTGAAAGCAAAAAGTATGGCAAAGGAATCAGGACGTACACTGCATACCCTACAGATTCAAGAGAATTGAAAATTACAATGTAATTTGCAACTCCTGCAATCACAAAAGAAACTGCCACAAGAATGACAATATGGGTGTATTCTCCAATCCCACCTGAAGCTTGCAGTAGATCTTCTTTGAAATATCCTGAATTCCAGAATACGCCATTTTCTTGAGAATGAGTATCCCAAGGAAGAGGATCCTGGAACGATTGAATCAGGAAACTGATGCACCATGATAGAAGTGTTGTATAGAACATTGCTAAGAAGAGTGTCACTCAAGCAACTGCCGCACTCACACCTAAAAACTTTGGGTTAATCGAGTCATAATATCTGTGTAATGCCTTTTTGAATAATTGCCCATATGAACATTCAAGGTAGTATAATGGGAACACAATTATGAAAATGCATATGAAATAAGGGATAAAGAATACCCCTCCTCCATTGTTAAACAACACAGATGGGAACCTCCAGATATTTCCATATCCAACAGCTGAGCCGAGACAACTTAGCCAGAACTGGATAGAATGTGCAAATTGGCCTGTATGATGTTCGTGCATTAGGGGTCTGGAAATATTAATATCTTCCACCTGAAATGAGTCCATCACTTCACTCTTCTCGGATTCTTCTGGCTCCATAGAAATATCTAAGTTCAATAAATTATATGTGTAAAGGGGTTTTGGGGTTTTGGGGTTTTGGGGTTTTGGGGTT